GAAGCAAGGATTCTGGGGCTTCGTCTGATATACTTTGGATATGTTGTAAGGAGGGAGAGGTCCTTGGAGAGGGACATCATGCTTGGGAGGGTGGAGGGATGGCGCAAGAGTGGAAGATTCTCTATGAAGTGGATTGATTCAGTGACTGGGATAATCGGGATGGGAGTGTCAGAGGCAGTGAGATTGGCACAGGATAGGGCAGGATTTAGGGCTGCTGTACATAGGGTCGCTATGAGTTGCAAGTGACTCGACGGCACATAACAACAACAGCAACAACAACAACAAAGATTAAATATCTGTGCTTATTAAAACTTTTCCCAACAAACTAAAAAGAAAACTTACTGGCTGGGAAGAAACATTTGGCAATACCATCTCAGACAAGCATCTCATAACAAAAGTTTACAGACTACTCTTGGGCCTCCAGAATAAAAAGACTACAAAATGGGCAAGAGACATGGAAAGACTTTTCACAGAGGAAAACATTTGGATGGCCAACACACACATGAAGAAATGCTCCAAATCACTGGAAATAAGGGAGATGCAAATTAAAACCACAATGAGATACCATCTCATCCAAGTAGCAGTGGCAAAATTAAGCAAGGCAGCAAGCAACAAATGTTGGAGAGGATGTGGAGTTGTGGGAATTCTCTTACATTGTTGGTGGGATTGTAAAATGGTACAATCACTCTGTAAGGCAGTTTGGTATTTCTTTAAAAAGGTGAAAATAGAAACTTTGTATGATCCAGCTATTCCATTACTAGGAATATATACAAATGAAATTAAAACTGAGACACAAATGGAGATTTGTACACTAATGTTCACAATAATGTTATTCACCATCAAAAGAATATGGTAATAGTCCAAATGTCCAACTACAACTGAATGGATTAAAAAACTGTGGTACATTTACACAATGTACTCAGTATTCATGAGCAACAATTAAAAAAATACTACATAAGTTGGCAGAGGCTGTAGAGCATTATGCTGAGTGAACTAACTCAGTCGCATAAGGACAAATCCTGCATAAGACCATTATTGTAAAAATAGAAGGATGACTAACAAAATATGTGTGGTACCCAAGTTGGGAAAGGCTGCGAGCAGAAGTATAACCAGAGTTGTGCAAAAAATTTGGTGGGTGGAGGGAGGGGGTGAAGGAAATGGGAAGGATCCGGCAGGAACCTGAAGAGACAGGGTAATGATGGGCAAGGTCGAATGGCGATTAATTTTATAAAATATCATGGGAATAATTGTATGAAACACAATGTGAATGGAGAATAGTGTAAAACAGAATGTATACAAACTTTGTAAGAAAAGCAACACAAAAGAAAGAAAGTCTATTAATGAAACAAACCCACAAACACATGTCTATAGAATTGTATCTAAAATGTACACAAAATTTTAAAAACTTAACAAGGGAAAATACTGTGATGCTAATATTGTTTTTTTTGGGGATAAAAAATTTTCATCATTAAATTAAAAAACAAATAAAAAGACACCTTTTGATTTCTTGTTTCTACAAAAGACCACAGATCCCCAAGGGGTAATGGGACGCTTAGGTACCAGATCTGCATCTGAAGCAGAGGGTCTTTTCAGCCACTTGATCTCTCATGCGGCATTATTTATAGTAATGAAAGAATTCACTTCTTGAAAGGAAAAAACCCCCACATAAATAGGAAAATCCTAAACATGACTGACACTGTGGTTACTGCAATTGGCTCACACACAGCAGCAACTGTGGGTCTGGCACTGGATTGGGCAATGTCTTGTTTATTGTTCAGAGAGACTCCAACTCATGTGATGGAGTGTTACATGACGACACATAACAACAAAGGCAAAGACAGACTACATTCAAGGCTGATTTATAAAAATAGAAGTAAATGGAAGAAAAAATATAAATTGCTGATTCTTAAAATAGTAGTTATCTGAGACTAGTTAACTAAACAAAAATTCATCTTGTAAATTTCTAGAACTTACTCTTTTCAAAATAACTTTAAAATTAATTTTGAAAAAAGAAA